GGAGAGGGACATCATGCTTGGGAGGGTGGAGGGACAGCACAGGAGGGGAAGACCCTCTATGAGATGGATTGATTCGGTGACTGGGGTAGTCGGGATGGGTGTGTCGGAGGCGGTGCGGTTGGCACAGGATAGAGCAGGGTTTAGAGCTGTTGTGCATAGGGTCGCTATGAGTCGGAAATGACTCGACGGCACATAACAACAACAACAACTACATATAAGGATCTTTTAAATTATGAATGGAAAAAGGGATTTTTTTTAATTAGGTGGGGGTGGGAATTTGCTTATATCTCTGTAGGTTAAAAAACCCCGAGATGAGGTGAGAGACCATCGTTTGACAAGGATGAAGCTGCAGAATGGAAGATAATACCAGCTACTGGGCATATGTTTCTAATGAAACACAGATAGACATTCTTCTGGTATTCTCTGCTTTCAGCTGAGATTCATCTAACATCAGCTACAATATCCCTTGTATCACGACCCCTTCTAAACACAGACTGGACTTCTGGCATAGGCTGATTCAATTCTTTAGAGGATTGTAATACCCAATGTCTTTCAGCTGGAGTTTATTCTTTTTCATTAGCATTTAAAAATTTAAAGTATATAAGGTTTTTTGTAAAACAGTTTGAGGAATGATATTTGTCCCATTACATTTCCCTCCTGTTTTTTTTAACATAGTTTGTAAAGTCAAAATACCCCTTTCTATTATATAGCTTGTTCTGCAATAACATAGTAATAGCATATAATTCAGCCTGCTGTATAACCTGCATAACCCATCTTATTTGCATCCATATAATAGGCATCTGCTTGTAAAAGTGAAGTTTTTACTTTAGTTGTTAGTATCCAATTAGTCCCTTTACCTGATTTCCTTTTTTATTACAATCACTGCAAAGTTGCAGGTAATAGTGGTTAATAAGACTTGCTAAATATTGTTTTTGAACTGATTGTTCTAAAACTTCTAAATTCTCTCTAGTTAGGGGTTACTGTTTCAGCTAAGGTGTTTTGGTTGTTGTTGGGTTTTTTTTTTTTTTTAAAGGGAGAGCATGAGGAATAGTGGCCCCGGTTATAATTTTGGATACCTTAATTTTTTTAATTTTTAAAAATTTTTTAGAAATTTTAAAATTTTTTTAGAGATTAATTTAGGTTCTTGAAAACTAGCAACCGCTTCTTTTTTGTTTTCATTTATCAGCTTATTAACTTTGCACTTGTTTATAAAAATCTGCCTTTATTAGTCCAATGATATCATTTTCTACGTTTTTACAAAACAATGAAGGCATAGACTTTTTCCTTTATATCTTTACTTTTTTTTTCTGAAATTTCTGTTTTATCTCAGGCTTGCATACAACAAAGCCGGACTTGTATAATTATAGCATCATTATATTGTAATTGAGCTCATACCTTAAGCTGTTGACTTTTGTTTTTTTAAGAATTGATTAGCAGTAACATTAACAGGAGGATTTTTAGATCAATTAATTCTTTCCATATTTGTAGCTTTATCAGTCTACTAAGTTTTAAATAGTAAATGTGCTTCAGATTTCAAAACCGTCCTGACCATGGTCTCTCAATTATAAAGTATTGACTTAAATTTTGTAGCTAATCCTTGTAATATGTTTTTTACATAGGTAAATTGCATACCATAAGCAATTATGGCTTGCTTTAACTTTTTAATTGTTCTGTAAGATAACGACTGGTGTTGATGCAATTGATACCTTTGGGGGTATTCTTTATTAGGAGGTATATTTTGAATTGTTAATTGAAATACAGAAGCTTCTTTCCTTTAATTAGATAAATCATCTTGCTTTAATTGTTACAAGACCCTGGGCATAGGTGTTAAAGGCTTTTTAAACGTAGTCCCTTTTACTGGGGCATGATTTGTATTCTTAAATAACATTGAATCTGGAACAGTTGCTGCAGATGGAGTTGTATTTTTATTTTAATCAAGGATGCTTTAGATAGAATATGAAATGATCCAGGAAGTATTAAAAGAAGATGGAAAGAATATACTGAGTCAGTGAATCAAAAGGAATTGGCAGACACCGAGAATTTAATAAAACAACATATGAGTAAGAGCCTATAATGATGAAAGAAGAAGTCCAGGGCTGCTTTGAAGGAAATAGCAAGAAATAAGGCCCCAGGAATAGATGGTATACCAATTGACATATTTCAGCTAACAGATGCTGCCCTGGACGTGCTCACTAGGTTGTGCCAAGAAATCTAGAGAACAACCACTTGACCAACTGACTTTAAAAGATCTGCATTTGTTCCCATTCCAAAGAAGGTTGACCCAACAGAGTGGAAACTAGAGCAATATCATTGATTTCACAAACAAGCAAGATTCTACTGAAGATTATCCAAAATGACTGGAACTGCACATCAGCAGAGAACTGCCAGAAGTCCAGGCTGGGTTTAGAAGAGATTGTGGTAATAGGGATATCATAGCTAATGTTAGATGGATCTTGGCTGAAAGCAGGGAATACCAGAGGAATGTCTATCTGTGTTTCATTGATTATGCAAAAGCATTTGATGGTGTGGATCATAACAAACTGTGGCTGACTCTGAGAAGAATGGGAATCCCAGAACACTTGATTGTGCTAATGAGAAACTTATATTTGGACCAGGAGACAGTTGTCAGGACAGAGCAAGGAAACAGTGCATGGTATACGCCAGGGATGTGTCCTGTCTCCATACCTTTTCAACCTGTATGCAGAACAGATGATCCAGGAGGCTGGGCTCTATGAGGAGAAGTGTGGGGTCAGGATTGGTGGAAGATCTGTCAACAGTCTGCGTTATGCAGATGACACAACCCTGCTTGCTGAATCTGCGGAGGACCTGAACTGCTTGTTACAGAGGGTCAAGGAGTGCAGCCTTCAATACGGATTGAGGCTCAATGTCAAAGAAGACAAAGATTCTCACCACTGGACCAATTGGCAGCATCAGGATGGATGATGAAGAGATTGAGATTGTTCACAGCTTTAGTTTGCAGTCAACAGTCTTAGCACCAGTAGCCAGGAAATTAAAAGTTGTATTGCGATGGGAAAGTCTGCTGATAGGGATCTTTCCAAAGTTTTGAAGATCAATGGTGTCTTTCTGGAGAGTAAGCTGCATCTGATACAGGCCATGGTCTTTGCAATCCCTTGTTATGCCTCAGAGAGTTGGACAATAACTAGAAAGGAGAGATGGAGAATTGATGCCTTTGAGCTGTGGTTCTGAAGAAGAGTATTGAGGGTACCATGGACTGCTAGGAAAACAAAGATTCATCCTTGAGAAGGTTAAATTGGGTGGCTCCTTGGAGGCAAGGATTCTGAGGCTCCGTCTAACATACTTTGGACATGTTATAAGGAGAGACCGGTCTTTGGAGAGGGACATCATACTTGGTAGTGTGGATGGACAGTGCAGGCGGGGAAGACCCTCTATGAGGTGGATTGATTCAGTGACTGGGGTAATCGGGATGGGTGAATCGGAGACAGTGTGATTGGCACAGGACAGAGTAGAGTTTAGGGCTCTTGTACAAAGGGTCGCTATGGGTAGCAAGCGACTCGACGGCACATAACAACAACAATATATTTCATTACAAGAACCCAATTTGTCTATTTTATTAGAAAGTTTTAAAACTTGTTTACTTAATTTATTATAAGGATTATCATCCTGGACTACATTTTTCTTTTGATAAGCTTTTTCAACAGATACAGATTTGAAGTGGATGACTTACTTCAACTTACTTACCCAGAACTTTGTGCCCTAACCCTACCCCTAACCCTTGTCCCCCTTCTTCTGCAGAGCTTTGCAAGGAGCAGAGATCGGGCTCCAGTGAGTGCCATGGACCAAGCTCGGGCAGCCGCTACCCTGTGTGCCATGGACAGATTTCTATACAAAACCAGAGCGCTGCCACATTTTTACCTCCCAGGGATTTAATTACTGTTTTGAGAGTGGGATAACTGGGGGTGGGGAAGGGGCTGTGCACTGCCTTGCGCCACGCCCAGGCCTACCTGCCCTTCCCTGCCTGCTGTGCAGAGGGTAGGGCTAGGTCACTTGGCTTAACCTCCCCTGTCTTTGGCCTTGGAGTTCTGGGAAGCTCTTCTTCCGCCACCATTAAGACTTCGGATCTCTGTAGTGGGGAAAAAATTTTTAGTCTGTTCCATAGCACCAGTTTTAGTTTTGAAACAATATATATGTTGATATACAACTTTAGACACTCTGGACACTTACGTGGGAGCCTGGTAAGGCTAAGGTGTGAGCGCCCTCACCTGCACTAGGCCACAGATACCAGATACGAAAGATGCTGGTAGCGGATTGGACCTGCACACACAGGAGATGTGAGCAGAGACAAGAGAGCAGAGATAAGAGAGGCATGCACAAGCTATGTGTACAGGGACACATAGCCAGGCGCCCTTGGGTACACTGGCGGGAGAGGGGAGATGGGACAACAGGAAAACACTACAAAAGATAATAGCCACAGAGCCACGTCCCTACAGCCTAGTCCGCACCCTGCATGTCCACCCTGCTCTGCTTTATGCTGGATTTTGAACTCAGGTTTTGGCAGTGTCATTGTGGCTGCTGCACTGCTTTTGTTTCTGTGCCTGTTTGGTGCAGACCTGTGGAGCTTTTTGCAACTTCAGTTAAATTGACAGCTTTTGTGGCAGCTGCTCAGCTCCTAGTTGCTTAAGGGCGGAACTGCAGAATTAGGCTTAAGGGGTAGTGTTCTCATCGTGTTAGAGCCCAGGTGTGGTGTAGGCTCCCTTGGTTTTCCTCCCCTTCGTTGTCAGGCCGCAAAGGCAGTAAATGAAATCAAGGGGGAGGAAGTGAGAGCCAGACTGGGGGGAGGTGGCTGGACTGAGCAAGTTCCCACCAGCACAGCGTGAGGGGGAAGCCAATTGCCTAGCTTTTGTTTTTTTTTTGTTTGTTTGTTTTGTTTTGTTTTTGCCTTTTTTCCCTCTCCTCTCTGTGGAGCTCTGCACCTGAGTGATACCGCTGTTTGCGCTTGCGCCAGAGAGAGCGCCCATCAGCCTGGGAGGAGCCCTGGATGCTGGCTGGCGCCTGCTGGTCTCTTTGGGTACCCAGGCTGCTGCCAGGCCTGTGAGTTCGCACCGTGGCCACGCCCCCTTCTCTGTCCGCCTGCCGCGCTGTGCCACTTTCACTTTTGATAAGTTTTGCAAGAGTTACCCTCTACTGGCACTTGACTCTTTAAACTGGCTCTCTCCCTTCCAGCTTTGCCTCTATGTTTACCAGGTTTGGTAGGGCTGCAAAAGCTTTAAGATAAGACTAAGAGGTGTTTACTTGACTTGACCCATTTCTAGGACGAGAACAAAGAAAAACAGACTTACATAAAGATGGAGCACAACACAGAGCCAAAATGCAGAACACTGGCCTTTCCCAGTATGGGCTTCTGGGGCTGGGAGCAACCTCTGCTTCATTCCTTTAACCAGACCTGGGGGATAGAGTCCTCTACAGAGGGCCAGATGCAGGACGTCTCCCTGCTGCCCTAGCGCAAGTCCTGTTCAGCATGTCTTCCCAGGGATCTCAGGCACAGGTATATTGTTCGAACCACCAGGTACAGAGACAGAGACAACTCACAGAAAGAGCGCTCACTTAACTCACCAGCTTGCCTGGGATCTAGGCGCTCAACCTGACAAGAGTCCTTTAAGGGGGTGTTTCCCAACCAATGCACCAAAATATTATGCCCAAGAATGCGTCCTCAAAGGACAATACCTCACGTATGCAAGAACAATGAGCGCTTTATGTTCAAGAATAACTTTCTGCATGCGGAGGCTCCCTCCCTCTGTGGAAAGATGGTGAGTGAGAACCCCCGAGTCGTTTTGCTGCACCCATTGTTTTTAAGGCCTTTCCGGGTGCTTCTGTCTGGGTCAAGGAGATTGGAAACATAGTTGGTGGGCAAGGGGATCCGTCATGTGGGTTGGCTTTTCGTAGGTTGGCTACTTTGCCCACTTTTTTTTTTTTTAATTTTTGTGTGAGTGTACCGTCAAATCAGATCTGACTGGTACAGGAGGAGATTGTCCCTCCTTTCCCGGCAGAGCATCTGGTGGTACTTTGCCCACTTTTGTGCCTCTCTGAGTCACATACACACTTTGTCTGTTCTTGCTTTTAGTCACATGGGGCGAGTTAATCTTAAACTTTGCAAGGACAGATGAGACTGTACCTGACGCATCTGTGTTTGCTCTACCCTTCCTAAGCTCAGAATTTTTGTGGCCTGCTTCTGCCTCTGGAATTAATGGGGTTTTTTTCAAGGTTGGGTTTGAGTCAGGTGTCAGGTGGGGGTGCCAGACACTGTCCCCTCAGTTCAAATCCACCAGTTGCTTAGTAATAACCTGTACAATTATTTCTATGGCATTATGTATATATGTTATTGTTGTGATGTCCCATGGAGTTGTAACCAACTCATAGCTGATCTTGCAGTGTGTTTTCAGACACTGCAAATCATATGGGAGGAGATTGCCCATCTTTCTCCCATGTAACAGCTAGTGAATTCAAACCACCTGTTTTTGGGTTGTCACTGCAACTCTTTACCGCTAAGCCACCAAGACTCCTTTGGATATGCATGAAATTAATTTTGTTATGTATATATTGTAAGATTAAACTATCATGACTCTTAATAACTTCACTTTAATAACTAAAAGCCCATGAAACTTTATCCATGATTAAAGAATAGATTTAATATTGTTTGAAGCTAATTATCAAAATCCGTTTGTTTGCTGTTTTTCATTCAGTCCTTGTCCTCATTTGGATCCACTCAAACTTTGACAGTTTCACATTAGAGAGGTAGCTTGCTGCTCTTATTAACCTAGTAAACTCAGACTTAGGTGACTAGAGATCTCACTACTATTTTAGTGTAGATTATTAGGAGATTGGAGCCCTGATGTTGCCAATCAAAATGTCAGTGGTTTGAACCCACTATCTACTCCATGGAAGAAACTTATACAGTCTACTTCCGTAAAGATTTACAGCTTTGGAAACCCTGTGAGCAGTTCTACTCTGGACTATACAGTTGTTTTAAATGAGAATGAACTCAGTGACAGTAGGTTTTATTACTATTTGTAACATTCTTTCTTTTTTTTTTTTTTTTCCTAATTATATTTTATTAATTTTCATAAACATTTACAGAGATTTTGGGCTTCCACTCATTCATTGTTGCACTATTCTCTCTACCCTCCTCCCAGTTTGTTCTTGTCCAAATGCCACAGTGCTTGTCAAAGCCAGTTCTGATTAATCTTCTTTGTCAGTGTATCCTTTGCCATTCCCTATCACTCCTCCCTGAGAGAGACTTCACCCTGAGTCATAAGGAAAAGGGGACGGCGTATTCTCTTAGCTACTTCCTGCTGAAAAGGGACGCTGTGGGTTTCAGGGTGAAGATCTTCTCTCACTACTCTAAAGGGCCCCTTTGGCAGTAGGAAACACATAGACTATTATGGAGATTGATTTTGGAATTCAGATGCACTCTTATTGATTGTGCTTGGCGTAACATTCTTTCTAGTCTGGCATAATGGAAAAGAAATATTTAAGTGTAATTTTCTGCAAAGAGATACTCTTTCTGATAATAGGATCCTTCCTCATCTATTCTTTTAAATTCTTTTGTCTGTATCTTGGAGCTTTGGTGATGGTAAGGAGTTGTGCTGTCAGTCTAAAGGCATGAGATCCACATCTGACAGAAACTTGTTTGGACAAAGATGGACAATCTCCCCCCATTTGGATTTACAACCTTGACAGCCCTTTGGAGAGTCACCTATGAGGCTGTTCCAACTCAACTGTACATAAAAAAACAACAGTGTGTCTAAGTCATAAAAATTTATGTATTTTCTTTCTAGGACTTGAAGGCATTCTATTTGATTTTTCTCTTTCATGATATGTCATCACAACTACCAAACTTCCTTCAATCTCCAGTGAAAGCTACCAACTAGTTTCTTTGGCATGAGGACCTATGGTAAGTAATTCTTGTCTTCTTGTTCTTAGGTTGACTTGACTAATAGTCACCTTGGATATTGTTTTGATAATATTGATAGTGATAATAAAGATTAAGCAATGTCTCCGCCCCCACCCCCACCAAGTGATTATGTTGTACAACTGTGGGATATAATTAAATTTTTACTCTTTTGGACTCCTTGTTACTTTTGTGTTACATGTAGTTGCCATATAGCCTTGAAAATTTACATTCATACAAGGGGAACATGCAGTTATTACCATGGGAAGTAAGTTTTTTGGGATGAATAAGAAATGATAAAAAATGAGACGATTATGTTGTATGACCAATTATTTATTTTCCATTTTCATAATGTACATTTTAAAAATTCTTTCTGCTCAAAGTGAAACCAATGCTTGTCGAAAAATACAAATTTGAAGAAAAAGTTGGAAGACCCACATGTGCTGAACTCCATGTTAGTTTAACAGTCCTGATGCCCAAAGGAGTACTTCTGTATCTTTTAAGATTTTTGTACTACTGATAAAGATTAATGTGTTACAAAAGAAATGTTCTAAAATTTAAACTTAAGGGGAAAAAAGAAATTCTGATTGAACCCTAGACTCTGCCAATACTTTTTCATACTTCTGTAAACTTGTAGCTTTATGCCATCAATTTTCCCATTCACCATTTCTTTGTAATGAGCTACAATGATTTCAAGAGAATACATCAACTTCCACCAAAGAAACGAAATCATGTACCGTATTTAAAGAAAAGGATAACAAAATATAACCTTCTAAAAAGTACTAAGGAAACTTACTTGCTATAAAGAAGTGACTATTCTTGGTTCACTATTTTATTTCTTTGGCTAATATAGCATCCATTGGTTTTGCAATTGTAATACTAGTATCTCTGAGATTGCTTGAAACCTAGTTGTTTTGAAATATCATTTGAATACCATATACTATGACAGATCTATTACTACTTAATATAGAGATTCTCATATGTCCTTTCTCATGTGTAGATATACGTGATTGTTAATAGATCAATCTGTGAAATCCACACGGTTGGAACCATATGTGACAGTTCCATCCCAAGACTGTACAAATCCTGACTGTCCAAAGTCATACGCTGTATTACCATAGCTCCCATGTCTCCAATATTGACCTGACCCCTGCCTTCCTTTATAACTATTCAAAGAATAATACTGGTAGAACCTAGATCCATCTTTTGTAGGATGGTTAGAATGAGATTCTTCAATGTCATTTTCCTGACTGACACTGGATTGCTGATGTCCACTCTGATGGGGTCGTACTTGGCTCTGTCCGTGGCCTGAAACTGAGTGACTAGTGGTATCTCCTGACAGGCCCTGGTTGGATTCCTGGTTGTGTCTAAAGTTGGACCCAGTCCTTCCATGGTTATGAAAGGACTGACTACCAGGATCATCTGATTGTCCGTCAGAGTCACTGGCCTGACTAACACTGGATCCCCGATGTCTACTCTCCTCAGAATTGGAGGTGGCTGGTCCACGTCCACCTGAGCTGTGTCCACGTGAAGAGGTTTGGTGGTGATGAGACCCTGCCTGTCTAGTGCGGTCTCCTTGTTGCTCGTGGTCACCTCTGTGTTCCCTGGCACCGTGGGATCCAGACTGCT